GGCCAGGGCTGGATTTGAACCCGCCATCTCTGGCATGTGGGGCCAGCGCCCTACTCCTTTGAGCTATAGGAGCCGCCCTTTCTAACTTTTCTATTTTTAGTTAGAGATGGGGTCTTGCTCTTGCTCAGTCTGGTCTCAAATTCCTGAGTTCAAGCAATCATTCTGCCTTGGCCACCCAGAGTGCCAGGAATACAGGCATGAACTACCATGCCCAGCCCAAGGCAATTTTAAACTATGAAAAAGGAAACTTGAATTAAACTAGTTACACTGAGATACTCCTTGACAGGCTTAATGCTGGTGACTATGCAAAAAGCTTACTAGTACAGCTGTAGCTCAGAGCAGCCTGCATAAATTCACATACCTTGGAACACTGCAGGTGTGGGTGTCTGATGCATTGAAGGACTTCATTAGTTCTCTGTTTGTCATTCATTCATTCCCTGACTCATAAACGTTCAGAGAGCTTACTCTGACCCAGGAACAGGGGCAGACTCTGGAGAATGATGAAGACATCAGTTCTCTTGGGAAGCACTTAGACCACTGATAAAAACAGACATGGAATGGGTGTTTGATTAACAAAATGCCGTCACTTGTTACAAGTGAAGGAAGAAACAGAAATGAAGACCTGGAATGTGGGGCAGTATCAGAAGCAGGATTTGCTGGCAGTTTCATATCCAGGGGGTAGCTCTGAAGGGCATTAAACTTGCCCTTCACAACGACCCCGCAGATGCCTGTGTCAGTGTGTGCTTGGTAAGGAAGACACAGAAAATCAGAAGAAATAGTTCAGTTGTTCCTCTTTCTTATAAACCTCATATTTGTAACTGGAGACATACTTGCAGGTGGACAGTTTTCTGATGAGAAAGGCCTTCACCTTGTCAGAAATCCAGTTGCTCTTAAATATCTAGATCTGACACACCTAAATAAACAGAAGAGAAAATAGTCTACGAGCTACAATTTAGCTTTCTGGATGCCTTGTTATGTATTGAAAGAGAGTCTATGTTACCCAGAATGTCTATTTTCTCTTTTTAGTCATCTCTGCAGGTAATTATTTTAAGGTGCCGCTGTTAAGTAGAACTGTGGCCCCAGATTGAGTTTTGGCTGTATTCAGTTTCCTATTTTTTTTTTCATTGTCTTAAGAATAAATTATTTTCTTTTCTAAGAAAGAGGTGGGCCCTCCCTTTAAATGGGAAGCATGTTGTTCTATATTATCACCTTTTAATTGGTGAGAGTTACAAACCACATTGTGACGGACAGAATACAACCACTATATACTCTTGGCCTGTCAAGAATGTGTCCTTTCCCAGGCCTTTGCCGGCCAGTGTTTAGTCGTGCTGGGTTGATATTTCTGTATTTTATTCAGCCCTCTGTCATAGAGCTTGATCATAATTCAGTTTCTAGGCTGCTACTTTGTGCCCAGATAACTGTCACTCTGCAATAACAAGACATAAACCATATGTAGTTCAGTTCCCCAAACTGTTCCCGGAGTAACACTGAACTTGAGCTTGTCTTGTTCTCAGTCTTCCCTCGAGCATCTAGCTGTGGGCCTTCTGTAAGAATCACTGCCCCAAGGAAGAAGGCTGCTCCGGTTAGCACTGTTTTTCATGCCAGACCTCCACTTTGAGATCCTGCAGCATCTTTGTGTGTGTGTGGTTTGTCTTTTTTTATTTTTTTATTTTTCCCATGTGCAGTGTTATATCTCTGAGTCCTGTGACCATTAAGTTTTCTGCTCCATTTCTTCTCTGTTTAGACACTGCAATGCCCCGTCCTACATACTAATTACTGACTTTTTGCTTCTGCGGTGCTTGATTCATTGTGTCACATTTTCCCATGTGAAAGTGGACTGGGAACCTTGGCCAGGAGGTTAATGGATTTCGGAGTCATTCTTATTTAACTCTGGAAGGCACAACAAAATAAGAACCAGAGGACTGACCCATTTTATAAAGGGAGCCATGGTCAGCTTCAGCGGCACACTGGGGATGGGTGTCACCGAGGTGGGAGACACGGCAGAGGGTGAACAGGCCTGGGGACACTCACTGACCTTGCCCACCTGGGCCCTCAGACTTCAGCTGAAATCACCTGTAGTGAGAAACACATGCTGGACCAGACGTAACCCTAAAGAGCACTTTTGAATTTTACTCAAATTCTGTC